TGGGTCAGCTTGACCCCCCCACAGTTCGACTCATACGCAAGGCAAGTCAAACCACCTGCTGAGTGTTTCTTTTCTAATGTGAAATGATCTGTTTTGGTTTAAGGAAGACAGACCTGGAGGAGAGAGCTGGCTCTGTTTCAAAGAAAACGTGGTGGGAAAAATAGTTATGACTTTTAAAGTTGTTTAAAACTTAGATTCAAATGTGCAGTATTTCTCTGTAACACCAAATGTGCATTATGAAATGTGCAATAACCAGAAACATCCTTATTATTAAGAATTTAACATAGAAAAACTCAGCTAATCTACTTCGTTGGGAGTGTGTGGGTGTTTGTCTTCAGACTGTGATTCAAAACTTGTCAAATCCTGATAGGTGCACACAGTATGTGGCATTACCATCTTCAGTGCTAATGCGCTCATACCAGAACCCATTACTAGCAAGAAGCCGATGAAGAGAATTTTCAGGACTTCTGAACTTTAAAAAAATCTTTCACAGAAGAAACAGGCTGAGAGAGAGTTACTGTATTCTTTATGTCATGGTTTGACAGTGTGTGCACTGTGTTTCAGCTTCATTCACAATATTTAATCAATAATAATTTCTTCTTTTCTCTCCTCCAGGGCCCCTGCTACATCAACTTTGATCGTTTTCCTCATGACCAGGCTAAGGCAGACGAGGAGTTTTCTGACTGGGACCGTGACTTCTGATGTTCATGAATGAAAGGCCACAGCAGTTGTCCACATCATCCTAACACAGTTATGAAAAGAAATCTAATCTAAGTGCTTAACTGAGAATACAGGATTGAGACATAGGGTACAAAAGGACAACTCTTAAAACTGAAAATTGAATAACAAAATTGATGAAGTTGTGTCTTTTTGAATTTTTGTTAGTTTAAGAAATTCAGCATGCCAACCCGCTCACGGGATAGTTGTTAAATGCTTTAAGATTGTTAAGGATTTATTATTATTAGTAGTATTATTATAATAAATTGTTATTTTCTATATGTTTTTCTATTTTTTGATAATTGACCCCTTTTGTGTGCACATTATTTTCATGCACCTTGATTGTAATTTTAAAAGATTTTTTGTAAATTGTAATGAAAATGCTCTACATCTTGAGTTTATTAAATACAACTGCTCTTATGTGCTTGAGTTAGCTTTGTTTGTTTCCTAAACCTGCCCACCACTGTATTACAGTCAAATCCGGGTGTGGTTAAATCACTCACACACAGCCTGCAGTAAGCAATGAAAGTATCTGGAGTTTAAATGTGAGACAGTGAACAGGACATATGGTGCATATAAAGATTTTATCAGAAAGGAAAATGCCTTGAGACAAAGAAAGAGGTTTAAAGGTTTAATCTGATGTTATTTCACATTGGTTGCAGCTGAATGTGATGCTCTGTAGGGGGCATATCACAGCTGTCTGTCAGGGCTGCATGTTTTAAGCTGAAAGGAAGTAGTCATCCTATTTCTGGGTAACACCTGTGATTCTCCTGTTGAGACCGGTTTTCCACATCAGAAACAACAACATTGACATGAAAGCAGGCATATCT